TCTACATAATTGAGTTCCTGGTCAGCTGAGGCTACAGGAAAACCCTGTCTAAAAAAAAAAAAAAAAAAAAAAAAAAAAAAAAAAAAAGGAGTAAAAATGGAATGGGGACACAAAGAGATGGGGTCGTAGATAAGAGAGATGGAGGCAAAGCAGGATCCAAATCCAACAGCTTCATGTTCGGCATTTAGAGCACATGGTAATGGGATGTGGGCCGTAGTCATCGTGGGCAGCCTGACCCCTGTGGTCTTTGCAACCCACATGACCTCTCTTGGGCTAGCTCTGTGCATTGCCTGTTGCTTTCCTTGGCAGCATTCCGTATTTGGAGTATCTCTAATGTCCTTGGGACACCATTGCATCTTTAGCTTCATCCTCACAGCTTCATGATTCATGATCTCAGGGGCTCCCCACAGGGATTATGATCCTGATGCATATGCCCTGGCCTCTCAGGCTTTCCTTTGAACTCTAGGGTGGAAGCTTCCATGACCTCACAACTCTTGCATTCTGCATGCCTATGCAACCAGCATCTTACAAATGACAAGGTCTTCTGCTTGTTTAAGCAGTAAACTAACCCACTTGGACCACAGCTGCAGGGGTCTCTGGATACCTGAATGGCTGAATGGCAGGAGATACTTCTTAAGAGACCCTGTGTGAACAGGTTATCCCAGAGTTTTCTTCCCAATGCAGTCTTTCAAATGAGTTAAAACTGGTACACCCTTGAGCTGCCATGAGTGTGGTCAAGCCATTAACTGAGATGCCCTCAAGATGCCTTTTCTACTGTCTTGATGCAAAGTGTGTGACTTCTTAGTGGCTCTGATCTCTTTAACAACCATTCCCTCTTTGGCCAACTATGTTTTTCAAATGTTTGCTGCATTCCTTCTTGATCCCAATTCTCACTATAAGCCTTGTAAAAGCAGTAGGTAATAATCATGCCATTGCCTTAATGCTGTGCTACCTTGAAACTTCCTCTCCCTAATTAGTCTGTCACTTTTAAAGCAAACGTCCCACAGTCTTAGAGGATACTACAATGTAACTTGCTTCTAGTCCAGTTGCTAACAGAGTTCGTGTTCCTGTCTGAATCCTCATGAGCATAGCCTCCTGTCATTCCCATAAGCATCCCCGTCTTCTGAGCTCCCAGCAGACTCTCCCATTAAGTTCTGCTGACAGCATTCTAGAACGCCTTTAGCTTTCATATGCATTTACAAATTTCTCCTACAAATCTATTAATTCTAGAGGTTTAACAATCCCATGGTTGGTTTAGGTGGAGCTTCAATCCCATTTCTCTGGTACCAGTTTTCTGTGTTACTCGCTTTTTTCATCACTGTGACAAATAAAGCAACTTCAAGAGAGGAAAACAACTTAAGGGGAGAAAACTTAAAGGGATGGAATTATTTATTTTAGCTCATGGTTTCCGAGGTTTCAACCCAAAGTTCTTAGGTCTACTGATTTGGGGTTCATGGCAAAGGTAGGACATTCTGTGAAGGGGAGACTAACACACCATTCACCTTGTGATAGACAGGAAGCAGAGAGAGGAAGGGACTGGGAAAGGGTAACCTTCAAAAGCATGCCTCAGTGACCTCTGTCTTCCAGCTAGCCCCTATTAGTTACTGAAATAGCAGGGTCAGCTGGAGCCTGAGCTTTCAACACATATTAAACCATAACATCAGTCAAGACTCACCTCCCAAAGACACGGGCAGTCAATAGGTTGCAGAAATGCTTGTCTTCTGCCTCTGAACTGCAGCAAGAGACCTGGGCCAAGTGGCCATACTGCCTTTTCCTTCTGACAGGTTGTGTGTCACAGAGTGGGCTGATGGGTGGTCTGAGGTCTTCTCTGATTTTATTCTGTTTTCTCCCTGGCAGGTGATCAGGGCCACTAACACCTTCCTCCTTCCCTTCTCTTTCCTGCTTGGTCCTCAGACACAACCCTGAGACCCTGGCGGGATGCTAAGCCAATTGCTACCACACCTACCACACCACCCTCCAGATCCAGCAGTCCTGACCAGATGTTGAGGGAGCACCCAGGGCTGGCTAAGCCCCCAACATCAGTGCAGCCTGCTTCCCTGATGTGCCTGGGAGAGAAGGAGCAGGTGGCCCCTGCAGAGGCTCCCATCATCCTCAGCTCCCCTCGGACCTCCAAGACTGACTCGTATGAGCTGGTGTGGCGGCCTCGGCACGAGGGCAGCAGCTGGGCACCCATACTGTACTACGTGGTGAAACATCGTAAGGTACAGCCCCGGCATTGTGCCACCCCCTCTCTGTATAGTTTCCTTTTGGTGAGGCTAAGTGGGGTTCCCCTGCCTCCTGGCTTGAAGCCAGCTCAGATTGCCCCACAGCTTGATCATGCCCTGTCTCATCTAATGCCCATCCCTACCTCCTCCTGGGGAGTTGGTGGCAACAGGACATCTCTCAGAGGTCCAGGCCGAGGCTATATGTGGGCCCTAAGGTTTAAACTCTGTGCACTTAGATCAGGAAGTTAATGTCAAGCTAAAGTCCCCAGGTAGCTTATAGGCTTTCTGCTATCATCACTACCCTCCCTACCTTCCCCTGTTATTTGTTGGGTGTTGCTGGTTTAATTTGTTTTCCACCCAAAGCAAGCTCTACTTAGTACACACCTGCAGGAATACCTAACTTTGGCACGGCAAATGGTCTCTACAACCAAGAAAATAAATATTTGGGAACAAATGTTTCTCTGTGGGCCACAAATGCCCTTCCGTTCTCAGATGCTGTCATAGCTCCAGTTTGACAATCAGGCATTGGAGCCCCTGGTACATCGTTTTGTTTAGGCCTCAGCTATTTCCTCAAGGGAGGCGGAGGTCCTGTCCAGGGGATGGTATAGGAGCTGTCATGGAGGGACTTTGGAGCTGTGATTGGATGCAGAGACAGAGCCACACCAGCCCGCTCCTGGACACTGAACCCAGTGAGGAGGGCTGAGACCTTTGGCTGCCATTCTCCTTCAAAGTTGTGTAGGGAAGATGACACGAATTTCAGTTCACCACAAGGATGTTCTGTTTCTAATGCCATTAGATACTAGAAAAGTATTAATTTTGAATGGATTTAACTTTTTTACATAAGTTTTATTTATTTTTATGTATATGAATATTCTGCCTGCATGTAAGTACATCATGGACATGCAATACCATGCAGAGGCCAGAAGAGGGCGTTAGATCCCCTGGGAACTGAACTAGGATCCTCTGCAAGTCCAGCCAGGGCTCTTAACCTCTGAGCCATCTTTTTAACCTTGGATTAAACTTTTTATTAACAGTAGCAGACTGTAAATAGTGAGTTTTTAAGCATTTAGGTTAATTTTGCTCATAAAAGTGCTATGTGTACTTGGTAGAAAATATTGAAATCATGAAATGGAACCAAAAATATTTTTCCACTTTTTTAGACTCTACAAGCAAACAAGAAACCAAGACTGCCCTTGCACAATGCATTGTGCTGGCCGTCCAGAAGCCATATCCAGGCTGAAAACCCCACTGTCTCCTCACATTCTGTCCTTTCCTTTTTCCTTCACTTACCTTCCCAGAAGACCTAGGAATGGAACAGGTTCACAGAAATCTGAAATGGTCATAAAGGTACCTAAGGCAGAGCAGCACCCTGTTGCCCCATGCAGCCTCCCTTGTAGGCCCACAAGCCATTCAGCCTACTGCTCAAGCAACAGCAAAAGTGCATGATAAGAAACAGCCTTGTTCAGCCTGTGTTCCAGGGCAGGGCTGGTCCCGAGTCTTATTTTCCTGTGCAGCTGGACACCTCCCTGTGAATTGTAGACAAAGATCAAGGAAGGCCAAACATCCATGATACCCAAGAGACAAAAACTAGCATGAGAGAAAGAATAATATTTTTCAGGCCAATAGGTGGCCTTGAAACTATGTCCCATAACAGGCAAGCGGGCAAAGACCTTGTGGTGGCAATCCGGAAATGCCAGGCTGAGGCTGCATTCACCCTCACAGTGTGTGTGACAGTGACAAATTACCCTTGAATTTTTTATTTTCATTTCTGGGTCTCAGTAGAAGTGGGAGGCCTGTGCTGGGAGGGCAGAATGGTGCAGAGAAGTGAGAGTTGGGACAGGGCCCCTGCTGGTCTGGCTTCCATTAGGCACTGGCCTGTGGAGCAATTGAAGTTTTTAGATGGCCATTGCCAAGGCAGAAATTATATCTTGAAAACATTCCTGCTTGTGGAACTAACATATCTTAACACTCATCACCCAGGAAAAAATTCTGAATTCAAGTCTACATTGTTGCCCCCTCCCCACCCCCCTTCTTTTTTGGGAGATTTGGAATTTTTCAACTGATTTTCACTTTTTTATGTGCATGAAGCAAGACTCATTTCCTGGTCCACTACAGACCCCGGGCTACTGTGTTTGGGTTTCCAACACCACTGGGGATTCTCAGTTTGTGAAAACTTCTCCCCTTGGAATAAATCCTGGCAGCCCAACGCTAATGAGCCCAAACCATCCCCCTGCCTTGAATGGTAGGTTTTGTTCTGTACTGGAATACTCTGCTTAGGGATAAGAGCTCTCCCCACCAGCTGTCGTCTTCCTTCCTCAAACCCCAGCTTTCTATTCTGATAGGCTTTCTGAGATGCACAGAGCAGGCCACTAAGTCTTTGTCCTATAAGGCAGTAGGTGACATGAACTAATCTCTCATCCTGGGGTGCCTAGAGCACTTTCATTAGTTTTTTAGAGAACTAACAATTAAAAATTCATTTATAATCATTAACATTCATCCTGTTTTTAAGTTCCAGGCAAGGACTCAGAGCAGGAGCAGAGAAAAAGAGAATTAAAATAACACGGGTGCGCTCACATACATGCAAGCAATACACTCATACACATAAAATAAAAAAAAAATAAGTAAAAGGAGAAATCTCACAGGTGAAGAATATAGAGGGTGTAAGGGGAGAGGCCAGGCATTTGTTGGGAATCTTAGCTGTGCCAGAGTTCTGAGATGCTGTATTTGCCTCATTTTAGTAACAAATAGCTCAGGGCTCAGAGACTAAGGGAGCTTACTCAGAGTTACATGATCAAGACTTGAACTCAGGGCTTCTGCTCCCAGATGCTTCTTTCTAGAAGGTTACCTCCAGAGAATGCTCTTTGGAGTCAAGTTAGGATTTCTGGGCTCACTAGCTCTGCAGTGTTGAGCAAATTCCTCATCTCTCTACGCTTAGTCTCCTCACTTGTGATCTGGAAACAGTGTAGACTGATTGCTTAGGGTTATGCTCACACAGCGAGGACCAGAACACGGTACTGTTTCTGCTGTGATGGCTTTTGCTCTCTGTTCTCACCTCTCATTAGAATATAGACTGAAGGACCTGTTTTTGGCTCAGTACACAAGCAGAGAGAAAGTTAGATGTGAGGCTGTGGAAGCTGTGGGGGCAGGAAGCCTTTAGAGAAGCTCCCAGCAGTTCCCAGCAGGCCTTCTGGCTGGCTGTCCTTGCTGAGCTTCCTTGATGGGATCATTTCATGAGGGACCAGGAGGACTTTCAGAGCTCTGCAGTCCCACCTGCCCCAACCTGCTCCCAATTTGGCCCATGGTCCTTTCTTCTGCCCCTTGGGCTCAGGCTTAGTTGTGCTTTACTCAAAAGCTGCAGCCTATTGGCCACACTAGGGGAAGATGCTGGTCCTCACCCCGGTCACCTTCTCCAGCAGGTCACAAATTCTTCTGATGACTGGACCATCTCTGGCATTCCAGCCAACCAGCACCGCCTCACCCTCACCAGGCTTGACCCTGGAAGCTTATATGAAGTGGAGATGGCAGCCTATAACTGTGCTGGTGAGGGCCAGACGGCCATGGTCACCTTCCGAACAGGTAAGGTCAAACATTGTACTTAGCTCAGGATTTCCAGAGGCCCAAATGAGTTATAGTAAAATCCTGTTCAGCTTGTGCAGCTTTCGCCTGCAGTTCTTTCCTCCCCCTCGCTGCCTCTGTGGGTTTACGCACCCAGGCGCAAGTGCCACCTCTCATCAAGAGAGTGATCAGCAGCCTCCTGGCATCCCTCTGCCCCTCCTTCACACAGGAACCAGTAGCTGCACCACAGTAGAGTTGGCCAAAGCTGGGAATCAGACCACACTTTTCAGTGTCCCATGTGCCTGTTGTATCACCTTATCAGCCCTTGGCAGATTTTCTGGCAAAAAGGACTTTTCATAAGGGAGAGCTCCTGCAAGTTCTATCCCTTGCTGATCACAACTCCTTCTCACCCAGGACGGCGGCCCAAACCTGAGATCGTGGCCAGCAAGGAGCAGCAGATCCAAAGAGATGACCCTGGTGCCAGCCCCCAGAGCAACAGCCAACCTGACCATGGACGCCTCTCCCGTAAGCCCAGCGGCAGTGAGGGTGGGCAATGAACAGTTAGGACAAACTGTCACAGAGGGCTTGTTGCTGCAGGTTGAATGAGGTTAGGGTTCTGTAAGCCAGGAGTTATGGTGACATTGTCTTGGCATCTCCCTAGTGAACCACAATGAGAAAGTATAGATTCGAGTTTTTCAAATGAAAGACTGGCATCAGAGCCTTGAATTACTGAGAGTGTGGGTCCAGAGAGCAGCTCTGCTGTTGCAGAAGTACAGGTGAAGAACTGTTAGCTGCAGTGTTAACATATCTCCCAAGCAGGTGGATGTGATGCAAACAAGTGGGTCAAGGGTGGTGGGGAGGAGCAGGCCCTGTCAGGGTCAGGCCAGGTCCAGTCAGAATAGAGCATCAGCTCATGATGTCCCTGATTTCTTCATCTTTCCTCTGGGGGTGGTCTTCCCAGCCCCCGAAGCTCCAGACAGACCCACTATCTCCATGGCCTCTGAGACTTCAGTGTATGTGACCTGGATTCCCCGTGGGAATGGTGGCTTCCCAATTCAGTCCTTCCGTGTGGAGTACAAAAAGCTGAAGAAAGTGGGAGACTGGATTCTGGCCACCAGTGCTATCCCTCCCTCACGGCTTTCTGTGGAGATCACAGGTCTGGAGAAAGGTAGGGGCCTGGCCTTTCTCTTGCCTGCCTAGCTGCCTCTGGACCAGTGGAGGAGGAGCGGGGAGGAGAGGAAGGGGAGAGGAAGGAGATCGGGGGAAGAAAAGGAGGGGAGGAGAAGGAAGGAAAATGGTCTTCCCTTGAGGAGGAGAGAGGAAGAATTGAGGATCTTCTCTTAATTCCGTTCTTCCCCACCAGCATGCTCATGGAAATGCAGCTGGTGATGCTTCCTCAGTTCCATCTGATGAGGATGAGTGTTCTTATGAGAACCATGAGACATCTTTGAGGAAGAGTCCACCAGCTCTCTCTGGTCTGGGCCTTGCCTTGGCTGGCATTTGGGGAGTCAACTGTATTTCATGAGTTCAGGGAGGATCTCTCTCATAGGTACCTCCTACAAGTTCCGAGTCCGTGCTTTGAACATGCTGGGAGAGAGTGAACCTAGTGCTCCTTCCCGGCCATATGTGGTATCAGGCTACAGTGGCCGAGTATATGAGAGGCCCGTGGCAGGCCCTTACATCACCTTCACTGATGCCGTCAATGAGACTACCATCATGCTCAAGTGGATGGTAAGTGGCTTGGCCATGAACACAATGAGAATGTCCCTCCTCCTACCTGACTGGGAGCTGGCCTTTCTATATAGTACATCTGAAAGCCCCTTGGTGGATCTGGGAGGGTGGTGGTTGCCAGACCTGCTGTTAGCAGTCTTTCCTGACCTGGTTCCCACTTTCAGATTATATCTCACCGTCCTTCCTGCCCTTCACCTGACACCACAGGGAATCCCAGCACTTGTTCAGGGCCGCTTATGTGTCCAGGGAGGCTCAGAAAGGCTTTGGAGAAGTATAATTTTTTCCATATCTCTAAAAGCTCAGGGGTCTAATAATGCCTGATCTTTGTATCCTTCTTCAGAGAGCCTGAGGGACATCTTCACAAATATTTTCTGGGGCTCCATGAAATTGAAACACTGTTCTGGGGAGAAGTTTCCACAGCCTGGTGGTTTTGCTCTGATGAGTTCCCTGATCCACTGTAAACATGTTTCTTCTCCATTCCCTGCAGTACATCCCAGCGAGTAACAACAACACCCCCATCCATGGCTTTTACATCTACTACCGACCCACAGACAGTGATAATGACAGCGACTACAAGAAAGATATGGTGGAAGGTAAGAGGCTTTGTTGACTGATTTCCTTCCCTGGCAGTGGGGTCTGGGTCTTGGCAAAACCTTGTGAATCATAAAACCTAGCTCTGTGCTCCTTGTCATTGATTCATCATGGCACACATGAGGCTGTCTAGTTGAAAACCCATCTGCTTCTTTTTCATGACCATAGGATGGCAGGCACATGGCGTCACTCAGAAAATTCTCCCCTGTGTATCTCCTGTGTCAATCAGTGGCACTAGCTTAGACAAACAACCTTGTTTGTCTGTGGGATTGAGGCCAAGCAAACAGCATATGCTTCACCGTGGCAACCCTCCCTTTCCTTCCCAGGGGACAGGTACTGGCACTCCATCAGCCACCTGCAGCCGGAGACCTCCTATGACATTAAGATGCAATGCTTCAACGAAGGCGGGGAGAGTGAGTTCAGCAATGTGATGATCTGTGAGACCAAAGGTGATTGTCCTTGGGTCCCCCCTCTTCCAGCAGAGTGGGGCAAAGTCACTCTTCCACACCATGCTGGTATCCCTTGCCAAGAAGACCTCTTATTTTCCAAATAGCCCAGACTTCATCATTTGTCACTTTCTTGTTTGCTTGTGCTTTCTGCTAATATGAGTGGGCTGCCCTTATCATGGCATCAAGAACTTGGGAATTAAAACCCACAAACTCATTAGGAATAGAAATATTCTTAAGATAGAGCATTCTATAAATACTATATTTCTTGGTGTTTGGTTCATCTATTGGTTAGTTTACCTGCAGCCTGGTGAATGAGAAGGAAACTATTGGGTATCTTGAGTAAAGTTATACAGCCAACATAGCGGTCGTAGAGCCTGCTTCAGACCAAGATCATCTAATTAAAGGCTGAGGCTCATGTCCACACTAAAACATGTTAAACATATGCACATAATTACTTTTAATATGTGCACATTAGTCAGGCAAGTCTGTGTCATTATTTCCATTTTTAAAATTCTCAGTATGACATAAAGCAGGTGTATTACCAAGAATATAATCAGAAAAATCACAAAGGAATGAGAGAAAGTATCACTCCCCCATCACTGAGGCAACAGCATCCTCTCCCACTGCATTGCCTTCAGTCATTGATTCATAAATACTGACAGCTCGCCATCCACTGCCCCAGCACACCTGCCTCTTCTGTCATGTGCAGTAAAAGGGAGGGGAAGATGTGCACACAGCCCAAACGCTTCTTTTAGTACGGAGAGTGCCCAGGGGAAATACAGAGCTTCAAATGGACTTCTGGAAGGACTGAATCTTCAGGCTGGAATGAGGAGGAGTGCCTGGGGGGACACGCCAGTGGGAGGAGGATGAGGAAGGGTAACTCAGGAAAGAGGCCAGAGGTGTTGATGGGAGTGACTGAAGGCTGGAGGGAAGAGCTTGTGAACTTGGCAGAGACTGAGGTGGAAGAGCATGTATTTGCTGAGATGGGTCATGTGTGAACTGAGGGGCGAGAACTGGAGCCTGGAAGTAAAGATGAAAAGTTTGTGATAGTTTTAAGGAGATTTTGTCAGCATCAGGGCTGATGGCGTGCTGGGCTGGGACAGAGTAAAGGGACTGAAAAGCAGGTGTGGCTGTGAATGGAGAAGACAGGCAGAGAAATGAACCACATGCAGGAGAGTTTCTGAGTGTTCAGGCCTCTGGATCTGCTGAAATGTTGTCCGATGAAGCATGTCTCCTGTCTCCAGAGTCTTTGGGACATAGGACTTGTGGGATTACACAGATTGCATATAGACTAGGAAGAACTGGGGCCATCTCCCACTATCAGAGGAGGCAGGAAGCTAGGTGGTGGAGATCGGGAGGCTGAGGGAATTCCGAGTAGTCTGTGAAAGAGTTGTTGCAGGTACTTAGCGGAGCAAGCCCCAGTGAGGAGCATGTGATTAAACTGTACACCTTTCATCTCTCGTCTACCAATTATATCTGTGCCACTGACTCCTAAAATGTCCATCTCCTCAGCAACCCAAGCTAATAACCTAGTACTTCACAACCCTTAGTCTCCCTAGGAACAGCAGATTTGTGGGAAAGTACTTTTGGAGGTCTTTCCAATTCTTTTGCTGATTCAATGCATTTTAATTGCTCTTTCAGAAACCACTTTATTACCTCTGTCTATTCTGACCCCAGTGCTTGGCTCACAAACATGTATTTTTGCTGGGTGTGGTGGTGCACACCTTTAAGTCCCAGCACTTGGGAGGCAGAGGTAGGTGGATTTCTGTGAGATCAAGGCCAGCCTGGTCTACACAGTGAGTTCCAGGCCAGTGGAGCTACAGTGAGACTGTCTCAACAACAACGAACACCGTGTATTTTTGAAATAGAAGTTTCAGGTCATCTCAACACCAAATTTCACATTAGGTACCAGTGTTGTGCTAAGTAGGGACATGACTGAAATCAGGGACATTGAGGTCCTATCTTGTGTGCTTGACCCCATTTCCTATACCCATGGAATTGGGGTATTTTATTTTTCTGTTTGTTTTGAAGAAAATGACAGAGAAATAAGACATTGATGTGAATTTTATCTACAATTGCAGCTCGGAAGACTTCTGGTCATCCTGGTCGACTCCCACCCCCAACTCTGGCCCCTCCACAGCCCCTGCCCCCAGAAACCATAGAGCGGCCAGTGGGCACTGGGGCCATGGTAGCACGTGCCAGCGACCTGCCCTATTTGATTGTTGGGGTTGTTCTGGGCTCTATCGTCCTCATCATCGTCACCTTCATCCCCTTCTGCTTGTGGAGGGCCTGGTCTAAGCAAAGTGAGTAACACTCCTCAGTAGAGAGAAAACAGGCTAGGGATGGAGAAGGGCCCCCAGCTGACCAACAAGGCCTGTGCCCATTTGGGTCAGGTGGGCCAGCTCCACATTCCTGGCAGCTCCCAGGTGCCCCAGAGGTCCCACAGGATCAGTGAATAACCCAAGGTTGTGCCATTCCCACCTGGGTCACGCACCTCCATTGAGGGCAAGTGTCCTCCACAGCGCTGAGACTTGGTGTTTATCTAGGTCCATCTTGTCTTAATGCCCAAAGTTGTTTCTTGACCTGGTTCATAATCGAATGGCCCCTGCCTCTTCCTTTACACATTTCTGACTCTTCTGTCCATCTGGAGCTGCCTTGAGCCTTCTCCTCATCCCAGGCTAACCTGACTCTTGCCCACTTATTACTGCTTTCCTGCAACTGACTTCCTTTCCCTTTCACTTTCACTCACCACCTCTCCCTTAAACCATTGTTCCAGTGCCTCTACTCTTCCCACTTTAAAAAAGGCTAAATGTTAGGAAGGAGTGGGTGACAGGAAGATGGAAAGTCTTGTCTATCGCTTGAACAGTGCCATCTCCCTGCCTGTTTCATCTGATTTCCATGCAGTCAGGAATGTGGGACCTGTTCCAGCTGCCGGAGATTTCCTTAGCCTAAGTATACCTCTGTCCCCATTCTTCTAGAACACACAACAGACCTGGGTTTTCCTCGAAGCGCCCTTCTCTCCTCCTCCTGCCAATACACTATGGTGCCATTAGGAGGACTTCCAGGCCACCAACCCAATAGGCATCCCTACCTCAGTGGCATCAATGGACGGGCCTGTGCCAGCCGAATGCATGGAAGCAGAGTGGGCTGCCCAGGCAGCAAACCTCAGCAGCACTGCCGAGGGGAGCTTCCACAGGTAACATGTTCCTGGGTGTGGGGCCCATCTGTGGTGTGGGACAAGGAGGCTACCTCTTGGGGCTTCTCCCTTATCCTGGGCTGCTGGGCCAGGCTGCGTTTAGTCAAGCACAGCTGAATGAACACTGGAAAGTTCCCTGGACTCTGCATGAACTTTGTGTTACTCTTTCCTTCAAGCAGCAGGAGGACACCAACAGCCTGCTGCGGCAGACCATCATTGTCAATGGATATGACCCCCAGAGCCACCAGGTGACCAGGTAATTGGGCCCCTCCTGTCCATGCTTTTATTCTCAAGCCCCAAAGCCTCCTTTTGTCTTGAGCTCCTCAAGTCTAAGGTCATCACAGCTGAGCAGCACTTGATCCCAAGTTTGCCAGTTGTGCTCCCTGCAGCTCTTATCCTATGGGCAAGGTGCTGTGTTCACAGTATGATGCCCTTTTGTTTAGAGGCCTCAGTTGTTTCTCAGAATCTGTCCATCACTGGAGCTGCCGAAATCACTGCCAGAGGTTTCCTTGGCCTAAGTATACCTCTGTCCGCATTCTTCTAGAACACACAACAGACCTGGGTTTTCCTCAGGTGTGAGGAAAACCAGCTTTTCCTGAAAAGGTGTGACCAGCTTTTCCTGAAAGGCCCTGGACACCCAATCTGCAGCCTCCCACATGGAATTAACTATATGTGTGTGTGTGATGCTTGGGGTACCTCTTGATGTTCATAGGGCAGCAGTGCTTGCTGAGTCCCTCAGATAGGGAAGGTGCCAGGACAAGGAAGTCCAGGCTTTGCTCTGCCTCACCTACCCAATCTGGTCTTGTACAATGCAGGGGCACCAGATCTAGCCCAGACGAAGGCTCTTTCTTATACACACTTCCTGATGACTCAACTCACCATCTGCTCCAACCTCAAGATTGCTGTCACCTCCAGAAGCAACTTGTCACTACACGTCAGGCAGCAATAAGGAGGGCACCTGAGGGTCCTGGGCTGGAAGCTTCGTGGGACCCTCCATTTCATTCAGGTCAGCCATGGGTAGCAGGGAAGAATTGCCTGAGGAGGTCAACCCATAAACCAGTAGTGGCTTGGAGGCGAAGGGACAAGTCTTCAAGGAAGTGTTTGGGAGTGAGGGTAGGTGGCCACTCTCCTTTGCTGCTAAAAGCCTGGAGGTCCACGGAGCTACCAGCTGGTCTGACTCCAACACTGCAGCAGCTCTGGTCCTCAAAGGAAGAAGGGTGTCCTCAGTTCCAAAGGAAAAAGTCCATTTGGTCTCTGCATTGCAGAGCCATTCACAGATTCTTTCTGCCTCTCATTACACTAAGGCATCTCTAATCCCTTGCCTTGTTGAGTCATGTCTTAATTAGGAAATGATTCTCATCAGTCATCAGAGTCAACTTCATACACACACCATCCAAGTAACTCTGTGTGTCCACAGAACTTGTTCTCCTAGGGGCTGGGGGCTGCCCATGCCACTCTCTCCCATATCTCCCCCTGTGCCCACCTCTAGAAAACTTCAGGGGCTTAGTTGGGGCACATAGTGCTTCAGAGGGTTGGCTGGTATTTCTCAGTTTCCAGGGTGTGTATGTCCTTCTCATGTCCATCCTGGACCGTATCTCTAGGACATTAGAATCTTAAAAGGCAGTCAGCTCCTAGAGCCAGACCCAGAAAACAGGATTAGACTGGATAAAGGGAGTGGATTGTGAGGTAGACTCACAGCCGAATCAAGACAGAGCTGAGGTTCCTTCTGTGTTTCATGGATATAGCTGAGGCCAACTTCTCCAGGGTACAAGCCCAAGTGCTTAAGAGGCTAAGGTCTCTGGTCACAAAATAGGTGGCTAGTAAGTGACTAGCTCTTACTACAGATGTCCCAGAGCTACTTAGTCGATCTGAATTTTAACATTTTGTACCTTTTCCCACAGGGCCCCGGTGCTGCTTGGGTCTTGTACCAGTTGAAGAGGTAGACAGTCCTGATTCCTGCCAAGTGGGTGGAGGAGACTGGTGTCCCCAGCACGCTTCTGGAGCCTACATACGACAGGAGCAGCTCTCTCCCAGCCCGCCAGTTCATGTGTCTTTTGAAACACCACCTCCCACAATTTAAGCTGAAGCCAATATCCCAGAAAGACTATATATTGTTTTTTAAAGAGACAGAGAAAATTGGTATTTATTTTTCTATTATAGCCATATTTATATATTTATGCCTTTGTAAATAAATGTATATCTGTTTTTATAATTCTGGAGAGACATACAGGCTCCTCCCCTTTGAGGAAGGAAACAAGCCATAACAGTACAAGGAAAGGGTCACATCGGCGGACTTCGGATGTCACAGAACCTGCAGCGCCTGGGGCTGCAGGAGGCCCTCAGGTGAGTTGACTGGAAGGATTCTACACACACACTGTCATGAAGAGCACCAAGGAAAAGCAAGGGCCATGTATTGCAGACGGAAGCCACCAAAGATGGCTGGATCTGGTGGCCCAGGAAACGTTTCCAAGATGCCATGAGAACAGACCCAAATGTGTACAGCACTCTAAGCATTAACAAACCATCTAGAATCAGTAATCTGTGGCAACATATCTCTGTAAAAACAAATACTGTACCTTCTAAATAAATGTTTAGTCTTCCCTGTAACCGTCAACTTAGTAATGTATGAGTCAGCACTTTCTTTAGACGTTAGAATTCCATCTTTGAGTAGCTGAAGAAAACAGCCACTTGTGATGATTTCTAATCTATCAAGTGATAAATCTGGAAATGGTAGCAGATGCTTTTTATAGTTTTGTCTTTTTAAACACTGAACATCGCTTGTGTTTGGATTAATGTAAAATGGCATTAATAACTGTTTACTCCAAGAGAGCTCTGTTACAGGGCAGGCAAGGAAAGAAGATTCACAGTTCTCTTACTGACTGGGCTTGAAGTGAGCTTCAGCGATGTTGCAAGAATGAAGCTAATCCTTCTTATGTAGTTACGTGTGTTGAAAACCAAATATTTCCTCCAAAATACCATTTAAGTACTATGCTTCTTGAATATATGGTCCCTGATAAACTCATTCCCCTTCATTCTAAAGACACATCACCACTACTGGAATAGATGACTTCAAACCAATATTTAGTGTTGTCTCAACAAAGGACCATTCATAGATTTTTTTTTTTAAGTGAAAACACAAAACTTTTCTGTGTGGAACTGGACCCAGGTGGATGGAAACCGAAGTTTTCAGTGGAAGTCTTCGGAGACTTTGAGTTTTCAGTGTGTGTGTGTGTGTGTGTGTGTGTGTGTGTGTGTGTGTTTGGGGAAGGGGACAGTGTAGATTTCAGGATAATGGAGAGTTGAAATACCACTTGATATATTTAACCTTATTAAGAGTTGTACCAGACCCCTTGCTTCTACTTAGAGAAATTGATAAACAGGATTCTAGGAAAGCCTAGGGAGTCTTCAGATTCTGGCCAGGATGAGTCCACCCTCTGCTGGCCAGAAGGAGTACCACACTTGCTCTTCTGTAGATTTGTATCCTTTTCCCCTGAAACAACTAATCTGAGAAAGAGTGCTCATCAAAATGCAACATGATTTTCAGGAAAGCAGGATTTTAAAAGCAGCAGTTGAAATAGCTAAGACACATAGGAACTGGAGGGATGGAGAGTAGAGCTGGGCAGAGAAGAGATGTGGTTTCAAACACTAGCATAGAGGGCCTTAGAGGGCACCTCCAGGGTGTGCAGAGCTGATGTTCTCAGTCTTTGCTTTGCTAATCCATCTCAAATCTGAGCTGTCTTCTACCTGCCAGGCTAATAGGAGCTTTAAAAATATTTTACTTTTCCCTTCTTCCTAATCTAAAGTAATTCTCAGTGGGCTTTGGTGAATGTCAGTAAATAAAATCAACACGTAAACTCCCTGCTTCCTGCACAGGACTAGAGTGTAACAACATTGAATGATTTGTATCTAAAACAAAGCCCTGGGACCTAAAACCAGAAAACACTCTGATTCCTGTTAAATGAGGTAAAGGTAGGTGTTTATCTTAGTTGCAGGAAAGAAGAAACAGGTTAGGATATCAGGCTTTAAACTATTACCTCAGAAAATGAAATAGCTTGGATACTGATTTTCATTGCAGTGTGTGTGTGTGTGTGTGTGTGTGTGTGTGTGTGTGTATGTTTTAGATTTGGCTTGTTACTATTATTGTAACACTTGAATATTTTGATTTAGTCTGCCATAGCTACATAAATTACTAAAGGACAGAATAAGACATGGTGGGTGGGAACTGGTAGGGGTGCAGAGGTCAGCTGGTGGCTTAACAGACCTCTGTGGCACGAATCCCCAGTTACCATAGGCTGACTGAATAGAAAAAAGGAACTGCTTCCACCATAAAGGGGTGAGAAAGGGCTGGACTTTATGCTTTTTCTAACAATGCTGAGACCGGTGATACTGTGGACAAAAGTTAAAATGGCTAGAGTCACTGTAACAACCCACAAGTAACTCAAATACAGGTGGAGATTTTCCTTCATTCACAAGGGAAGGCTGTCCCTGAGAGCACACAAGAGGTATGCATGTGCACTCTGAGGAGCAGGACAGCCTTCTAGCTACCTCCTGCCCTGGTGAGGCCCTTATGTTTGAAGTTTAAATTCCTAAAGACTTAGGGCTCACACTTACTATAGATTCAACACTATATCTACAATCAAACAAATGAAACTGAAGCTATTGATACATCATTTTAAATTATTTAATTTTATATGTACAAGTATTTTGGCCACATATATGTAAGTGCACTGCATGCGTGCAGTGCCTACAGAGGTCAGAAGAGAGCATCAGATCCCAATCCCACAGGACTAAAGTAACAAGCGGTTGTTAGCTGCCATGTAGGTGCTGGGAATTGATCCCAGGTCCCCTGCTATAATGGCAAATGCTTTTAACTGCTGAGCCATCTTTCCAACCCCCTATTGGTACACCTTGTCCAATTCAAGATAACTTTGAAATAACGGTTATCAAATCCCAGATATGCTGAATGAATCCCTAAATAGTGAAGATTTTTAGGGGCTGGAGAGACAGCTCAGTGGTTAAGAGCACCAACTGCTCTTGCAGAGGACCTGGGTTCAATTCCCAGCACCCACATGGCAACTACATTCCGTCCTTAACTCCAGTTCCAGGGGAATCCGAAGCCCTCTTCTGATCTCCGCGGCATTGCAGGACACGGGTGCAA